TCTATGAGTCACGTAGGTCATATTTGGTCACATTGGCCATATTGGTGAGCCGCAATAATATCCGTAAGACACAAATGTCGGAGTTAGGAGATACATGAGTTGTGTGCCCTGTAGGTTGTAGTTGGTCACATAAGTCATAGTGATGAGTTGCAATAATATTAGTAGTTCATGCAGGCCAGAGTTAGAAGTTTCATAAGTTGTGAGTCACATAGGCCAAATTTGGTCGCAGAAGTCATAGTGGTGAATTGTGATAACATCTGTAGGCTATAGAAAGTGTAGTTAGAAATTGCATGAGTTGTGTGTCACATAAGTCGTAGTTGCTCATAGGTTGTAGTGATGAGCAACAGATATCGTCCGTGAGCCATAGAGGCTAGAGTTAAAAGTCACGTAGGTAGTTGTTGATTACATAGGACATAATATTGAGCTGTGATAACATTCATAAGTCATAGAGGTTGGAGTTAGAAGTTGTTTGAGTTGTGAGTCTTGTAGGTTGTATTTGTTCACATAGGCGATAGTAGTGAGCTGCAGGAGTGTCATTTGACCACCAGAAATCTTAGCATGTGTTATATCCACAGGTTGTTGCAATAGAGATGTCACTTGTTGATATATGACATAAGGAGAGAACATCAGGGTCCCAAAAAGGTCATTAAATTAAGAGTTTGACAATTGCAAGTAGTTATTGCTTTGATTCACCATTGAAACTTTGACACACTACGTCTGAGGTATGTCCTTAGACAACATTTAAGACATTGTGTCACATTGTACGGTATTCTGTTACTTCCTAATGTATATCATTACTCTGCATGGTGCTTCCTTACTCTGCAGTGCATGTCGTTATTCTGCAAGGTGATTTGTTCCAACATACATCATTACTCTATAAGGTCCACCAATGGCAACGAGATCGGGCAGCTGACAATGTTCGATGGTGGTTGGTGGTCGAAAGTGGTTAGCAGCCACAAAAGTAAAAAGTGATCATCAAATCTTTAATCGAGAATAGCTCTGAAAATTAGCTCTTTCTCTCCTCCTTTAGGTTCAACACCCCTCACCCTTTTCATAAGGGGAGTAGGGCTTTATTTATATATTTTAGGAGTGACATCCTTTGTAAATAAGACAAAAATCTGAACCATTTCATCAGATGACCCTGAGCGATTCCTTAGGTCAGATAGTGTTTTATGGACAATTAAGTGCCTTAATGACGTCAAGATCAAGTTTTATTGAGCTCGTTGGATTCATCTCTTCGAGACGCTTGATTCAACTATAAACTTGTCATATTTAGAATCCATTTGATATTCCAATTGACCACCCAAAGCTTTAAAAAGTGATTTAAAAGTTTGCTATGGGATTGATTTCTCATATTTGATCAATTTTATTATCATTACATTCGTCTTATCGAGCCAGTCGATTTAACCAAAGCTTTGGATGCTTTTAAATTTGAATCAAAACTTTTTTTGCTCCAAAATATTTCGAGATATGTGTTGAATGTCTCGAGATTTGTGCTGAATAATGTGAGTCTATTGATGACATCAGATGGCCTAAAGTAATATTTTTGATCGAATCGAGTATTTAGGTGTCTTAGTGATATCAGAATCCGAAGATGGATGTAACAATTTTTCCCTATATCGCCTCATTCTTCGTCTATTCAACATCCGCAATTATAGCTCGCTTAATCTTACATTAATTAGTGTTGATTGAAGGCTTAATTAAGAATGATTAGTCATAACAACATTTTTAAATACATAAAGTGCCGTTGCTGCGAAGCTGTTTTGAGTCATGACGTGATAAAAGGCACGGGTTGTGCAGCACATGTATTATATATTTATATTGGGTGACAGCCACTATAAATACTATAGTTTTTATAAAATTAGAACACGAACATATAAAAACTAAAGCTAATATTCGGGAATATAAATTCATCTAACTCTTTGGTTTATATATACTCATGAATAAAGAATTTTAGATAACGTCTGGCATGGGCATAAGTGAGACATGCATCCCGACTTGTATTAAAATGATTATTTTTTAAACATAATAATTAAAAAAATAAAATAAAACAAAAAAGTATGTGTTGATATATATATATATATATATATATATATAGTAAAAATATATTCTTATGAAAAAACATTTTTAGTTATGTTTGATGTTGCTTATGATATTGAAATCATCAATCATGTGACATAATGCATATTCACTGGATTATGAAGATGACTCAAATTTGACCCCTAACATGTATCTCGCGCCATTTTAATACCAACTTGATTCAATTTCGACTATTTTTTAGGTCCTATCAAACATAAATAAATAAATAAATAAATAAATAAACATATTTAATTGCTACAAGATTTACAGTCTCATTTTTCTCTGTTTTGATTTAAATTCATGATTTTGTAAATCCAGTTAGAAGATAGCGCACAAAGATTGTTAGAAATAAAGGGAGTGAAAGATGATGTTTACCTTCCTCAATCATTTCGTGTAGGTAATCAAAATTGTGTTGTAGGGGTTTCTAGGAGCAGAAGAAGAAAGTGGGAGTTTTTGATGTCTCTCTACTTTATGATCTTGTCATTGCTTTCCCAGTTAAGTGTTGCTCTAATCAAAATTGTGTTGTAGGGGTTTCTAGGAGCAGAAGAAGAAAGTGGGAGTTTTTGATGTCTCTCTACTTTCTGATCTTGTCATTGCTTTCCCAGTTAAGTGTTGCTCTAATCAAAATTGTGTTGTAGGGGTTTCATGATGATTTTGACTGAAATTGGGAGAGGGGAATTATTTAAAGTAATTATTAAATTAAATATATAATTATTACTAAATACTTAAAGTTTCAAGGGGCAAAATTATTAACGTATAACATGATATTACATAATTATTAGTTTTAGATGAGGCAAATTTCATAATATATAACACTATATTGCATAATTATTAAAAATATAACTTGGTTTCACCATCATGTCCTATTAAAAAAAAAAATCAAATATTTACATATAATGAAATATAAATTTTAATGATTTATGTTGTATCAAATAATCAATGTTTATTTTCATATGAAATATTATAAAAATTGTTGATGTTCATATTTTTATTTTTTAAAATTTTGATTACATGTTATTTTTTATTGTAAGCTGTACATAAATTTTTTCTTATTTTCTCTATTTTTGTCTTACTATCTTGATTTATAAATAATATAATAATCATTTATTCATTTTTTTCATTTCTAAATATCACTATTTTCCATCATTATATTCTCTTTTATATATATATA